AAGCCTGGCTTGGAGAATTTTGAGCATTACTTTACTAGCATGTGAGATGAGTGCAATTGTGTGGTAGGTTGAGCATTCTTTGGGATTGCCTTTCTTAGGGATTGGAATGAAAACTGACCTTTTCCAGTCCTGTGGCCACTGCTGAGTTTTCCAAATTTGCTGGCATATTGAGTGCAGCGCTTTCACAGCATCATCTTTCAGGATTTGAAATAGTTCAACTGGAATTCCATCACATCCGCTAGCTTTGTTCGTAGTGATGCTTTCTAAGGCCCACCTGACTTCACATTCCAGGATGTCTGGCTCTAGGTGAGTGACCACACCATTGTGATTATCTGGGTCATGAAGATCTTTTTTTACAGTTCTTCTGTGTATTCTTGCCACCTCTTCTTAGTATCTTCTGCTCTGTTAGGTCCACACCATTTCTGTCCTTTATCGAACCCATCTTTGCATGAAATGTTCCCGTGGTATATCTAATTTTCTTGAAGAGATATCTAGTCTTTCCCATTCTGTTGTTTTCCTCTATTTCTTTGCATTGATCGCTGAGGAAGGCTTTCTTATCTCTCCTTGCTATTCTTTGGAACTCTGCATTCAAATGGGAATATCTTTCCTTTTCTCCTTTGCTTTTTGCTTCACTTCTTTTTGGGAAACTAACTTAATGATCAGTAAATTAATATTCTGTGTATGGAACAGAACTCTATGACAAAAATGTTCAAATCTAGTAGATAAGCCCAAGAATTCCAATAGCAAATTCCTCTACAGTACTACTTTGGGGGGATGTTTATTTTTTTCCATTATCATTCATTATTTAATTTTTTCAATAAACACTTAAATGCCGCTAAGTGCTAAAAGACTTGTTAGGCACTCGTATATAAAATAGTGACTAAAATAAGGCCTTTGCTCATAGGGAGCTATAGTCTAGGCAGAGTTAGATGTTAAACAAATAACACATAAGGAAATACATAATAATGATATGTTTAAACTAGAGTAGAATAGGGGTAAATGTCATTTTAGAGTTTCAGTTCAGTTCAGTCATTCAGTCATGCCCAACTCTTTGCGACCCCATGGACTGCAGCACACCAGGCTTCCATGTCCATCACCAACTCCCGAAGCTTATTCAAACTCATGCCCATCACGTTGCTGATGTCATGCAACCATCTCATCCTCTGTCATCCCCTTTTCCTACTGCCTTCAATCTTTCCCAGCATTAGAGTCTTTTCTAAAGAGTCAGTTCTTCACATCAGGTGGCCAAAGTATTGGAGCTTACGCTTCATCATCAGTCCTTCCAATGAATATTCAGGGCTGATTTCCTTTAGGACTGACTGGTTTCATCTCCTTGCAGTCCAAGGGACTCTCAAGAATCTTCTCCAACACCACAGTTCAAAAGCATCGATTCTTCGGTGCTCAGCTTTCTTTATAGTTTAACTCTCACATCCATACACGACTACTGGAAAAACCATAGCTTTGACTAGGTGGACCTTTGTTGGCAAAGTAATGTCTCTGCTTTTAAATATGCTGTCTAAGTTGGTCATAACTTTTCTTCCGAGGAGCAATCATCTTTTAATTTCAAGGCTGCAGTCACCATCTGCAGTGATTTTGGAGTCCAAGAAAATAAAGTCCATCACTGTTTCTATTGTTTCCCCATCTACTTGACATGAAGTGATGGACTGGATGCCATGATCTTCGTTTTTTGAATGCTGAATTTTAAGCCAGCTTTTTCACTGTCCTCTTTCACCATCATCAAGAGGCTCTTTAATTCCTCTTTGGTTTCTGCCATAAGGGTGGTGTTAACATGCGTATCTGAGATTAATGCTACTTCTCCGGGTAATCTTGATTCCCACTTGTGGTTCATCCAGCCCTGCATTTCACATGAAGTACTTAGCATATAAGTTAAATAAGCAGGGTGACAAAATATAGCCTTGACATACTCCTTTCCCAATTTGGAACCAGTCTGTTGTTCCTTGTCTGGTTCTAACTGTTGCTTCTTTACCTGCACACAGATTTCTCAGGAGGCAGGTCAGGTGGTCTGGTACTCCCATCTCTTTCAGAATTTTCCACACTTTGTTGTGATCCACACAGTCAAAGGCTTTAGTGTAGTCAGTGAAACAGAAGTAGATGTCTTTCTGGAATTCTCTTGCTTTTTCGATGATCCAGTGGATGTTGACAATTTTATCTCTGGTTCCTCTGCCTTTTCTAAATCCAGCTTGAACATCTGGAAGTTCTTGGTTCACATACTTGAAGCCTATCTTGGAACATTTTGAGCATTACTTTGCTAATATGTGAGATGAGTGCAACTGTGTGGTAGTTTTAACATTCTTTGGCATTGCCTTTCTTTGGGATTGGAATGAAAACTGACCTTTTCCAGTCATGTTGCCAGTGCTTAATTTTCCATATTTGCTGGTATATTGAGTGCAGCACTTCCACAGCATCATCTTTTAGGATCTGAAATAACTCAGCTGAAATTCCATCACCTCCATTAACTTTGTTCATAGTAATGCTTCTTAAGGCCCACTTGACTTCACACTCCAGGATGTCTGGTGCTGGGTGAGTGATCACACCACCATGGTTATCTCTGTCATTAAGATCATTTTTTGTACAGTTATTTTGTGTATTCTTGCCACCTCTTTTTAATATCTTCTGCTTCTGTTAGGTCCATACCATTTCTGTCCTTTATTGAGCCCATCTTTGCATGAAATGTTCCCTTGGTGTCTCTAATTTTCTTGAAGAGAGCTCTAGTCTCTCCCATCCTATTGTTTTCCTCTGTTTTTTACATTGATCACTTAGGAGGGCTTTCTTATCTCCTCTTGCCATTCTTTGGAACTCTGAATTCAGATGGGTATATCTTTCCTTTTATCCTTTGTTTTCCCTTCTCTTCTTTTCTCAGCTATTTTTAACGCCTCCTCAGACAACCCTTACCTTTTTGTATTTGTTTTTCTTGGGGATGGTTTTGATTACCACCTTCTTACAATGTTATGATCCTCTGTCTATAGTTCTTCAGGCACTCTATCAGATCTAATCCCTTTAATCCATTCACTTCCACTGTATAATCATAAGGGATTTGATTTAGGTCATACCTGAATGGTCTAGTGGTTTTCCCCACTTTCTTCAATTTCAGTCTGAATTTGGTAATAAGGAGTTCATGATCTGAGCCATAGTCATCTCCTGGTCTTGTTTTTGCTGACTGTATAGAGCTTCTCCATCTTTGGGTGCAAAGAACATAATCAATCTGATTTCAGTATTGACTCTCTAGGGATGTCCATGTGTAGTATCATCTCATGTGTTGTTGGAAGAGGGTGTTTGCTATGATCAGTGCGTTCTCTTGTTAAAACTCTGTCAGCCTTTGCCCTGCTTCATTTTGTACTCCAAAGCCAAACTTGCCTGTTACTCTATGTACCTCTTGACTTCCTACTTTTTCACTCCAGTCGCCTATGATGAAAAAGACATCCTTTTTGGGGTGTTAGTTCAATAAGGTTTTGTAAGTCATCATAGAACCATCCAACTTCAGCTCCTTCAGCATTAGTGGTTGGGGGATAGACTTGGTTTGCTGTGATATTAAATTATTTTCCTTGAAAACGAAAAGAGATCATTCTTTTGTTTTTGAGATTGCACCCAAGTATTGCATTTCTGACTCTTTTGTTGACTGTGAGGCCTACTCCATTTCTTCTAAGGGATTCTTGCCCACTTAGAGTTTAAATAGGGAAAATCTTGATTAGAGAAATAAACCTTATATAAATATGAGAAACCAGAAACTTTGAGATCTAATGGTTTGCTGGAATGAGATTTCAGCTAGGAGAACTCTCTATTTAGAAAATCCTGCCACTGAAGTTACAAATAGGAGTGTTCAATTGAGAACAGCTGATTCCTGCCCCATCAAATACAGTATGTTGGAGTCATTCCACATCAAACAAGGCTAGCTGTGGCCTAACAAATGAGAATCCTTTTTTTCCCCCACAAGTGCTCATTTAAAAAGCTTTTAAATGCTATTAAATTTAAAATTTTATTATCACATTTAAAATTTATCTTTCTTTTCTCCCCAAGGAAATTACACACCAAAACCCCCCATATTTTAGTGCACAGTAATATACCAGAAAGGCCCATCTTTTCTTGATGACCTATGTGCTAAATGATATTTACATTTTGTTATGACTGAGATTATATATTGCATAGTATATTAAGGAGTTGAGTTGATAAGCATTTAGGAAAGAAAATTTGTTACTGTATGCTTTTCTTTAATCAAAAGGAAAAATTAAGAAAACTTACTACAGCTAGATTATTTCCAATGCATTTGAGAAATAAAAATTTTTCTGCAATAGCTTCTTCACCAAGGAACTCACTGAGACGCTCCCTCAGGTCTTGTAAAGTTAGGTGAGGAGATACTCTGAAATATCATGACATTGCCTTATAATGTAAAATAAAATAGGTTTCAGCTATAATAAAGATTCAATAGCTTTACTCATTTAACTTAAATCCAAATACTAATTTAATATATCATATATAACTTAATATATTGTGTTTCTACATTGCTTGGAACTTTGTAGGCTTGAAGGCTATAAATATATTTTTACAAAATGGTTAAAAGTCACTTAATCAATAAAATCATTAAAATTTTAAATTATCCAAAGGTACAGTTTATAAAAGTCCTTTCTGTACTAAAAAGGACTTATTTTCTCATCTACCTTCAGTTTCACTTTTGTCATCTACCTTCAGTTTTTTTATTAAAATAAAACCTTGCAATGATATTTATATAATGTTATATGTATCTTAAAGAAGGATTTAGCCACAGATAATTATTTTGGAAGTTTGACAGTGTTAGCTAATGTTTAAAACTTTCTTTGATGATCGAATGTCATCAGACTAAACATCTTTGCTTACTGGGAACACTTCATTCCTCAACATCTAAAATTTAAAGCTCTTGTTTGTTCTGAGTTCTTATTTTTGTAGACTTTTAGGGGAATATTATATAATTAACTCATTCAATTAACAAATATATATTGAGCTCCTCTTTGTATCAGACATTGTTGTAGGGTTGAGAATAAGGCAATCAACAAAATAAATATTTTTGCCCTTATAGACCTTATAATCTAATAATGCTAGAAGTGAAAAATTAACAAAGTAATAAGAAAAAATTAAATTCATAAGACACCGCTAAGTACTATTTGCTGTTGTTGTTTAGTCGCTCAGTCCTATCTGATTCTTTGTGACAGCATGGACTGTAGTCTGCCAGGTTCCTCTGTCCATGGGATTCTCCATGCAAGAACACTAGAGTGGGTTGCCATTTATTTCTCCAGGGAATCTTTCCAGTGCAGGGATTGAACCCACGTCTCCTGCATTGGCAGGCAGATTCTTTATTGCTGAGCTACCAGGGAAGCCCAGTACTATAGAGGAACATAAAGCAGGTAAGGATGAGTATTCTGATGATAGAAAATATAAACAAAAAAGTAACATTGGAGAAAAGACATGAATGAAGGAGGTGAGATAGCATATGTAAAGACACAAAGAGCATTTTAGACAAAAGAAACAGCAAGTACAAGAGTTCTGAGGTAGGACTATGTCTAATGTGTTCCAGAACAGAAAGGAAGTTCGTGTGCTTGAAAGAAATGATCGGGAAGATTAGGAAGACTGAGGTGTCCTCAAGAGAAATAACAACAGGCAGTTAGAACACATAGTATCATGTGTGTTTCTGTGAATGTGAAAATATATATATGTTATGTGCGTGCTCAGTTGCTTCAGTCGTATCCAACTTTTTACATCTCAGTGGACCACAGCCCATCAGGCTCCTCTGTCCATGCAATTCTCCAGGCATGAACACTTGAGTGGGTTGCCCTGTCCTTCTCCAGGGGATCTTCCCAAGGAATCAAATCCATGTGCCTTAAGTCTCCTGCATTGGCAGACGGGTCCTTTACCACTAGCGCCACCTGGGAAGCCCATATGTGTTATATGTATATATATATGTGGTGTTTCTATTTTTAAATAGTTCAGTGAAAAAGTCATTGTAGATATGCTAGTTTAACCACTAGTCATAGCTCTTCAGTAGGTTTCTAATTTCAGGTAAATACGGTCTTAATTCTCTTTGTGTATAGCCTGGTTACTACACAGGTTAGTTTTACTCTGTTTTCTAGGTGGCAGTGCGGTGGCTAAGTGATACCTGTTCCTATGGCACTTTTAACAGTTACATAGTATTATTTACTGATAGTATTCATTAAGGCAGGGACTGGATCCATCACACGGACAAGATATTTTTCACTTACAATTTTGAATTTCCACAAAGCATTTTTCTCTGCAGAAAAAAAAAATCACTTTTTCAGATATATTGTAATGTGACTACAAAATACTTGCCTTATAAATCCAGCTGAAATGAATTTGTTAACAACTTCTATTGAAATGGTATTTAACTTATAATTCCATGATCCTTCAGGTACATAAAAAACATGAAGTTCCACCAACTGAATAAATTGAGAATAAAGTCAGTTAAATCATTTTTAAAATCATTTTTAAGTGAGAAAAATCGATTAGTGTCCTCTAGAATTTGAGTTTAATAAACGCTGTTGAAATAAAGAAGGTATATATGTATCCTTCTGAACAAACCCATACAAAAAAACAAAACGAAGAGCCTGAAATAGCTAAGTTGGCTACTTGGCACTGGAGCACATTTTCCCTTGGAAACAATGTCCTAGATGTGGTGCTAGATTTCCTTAACATATATATGACACACAAAACATTTGTGGCTTGCAGTGAGGACACTAGATTGCCAAGATCAGATTTCCTATTACCAACCAATGCCCCTTTCCCTGACCCCTGCCTACACAGTTTATTTCGTGTGACTTTGTGGAATCCTTATTTCTTATATATATACATATATATATATAGTCACACACACACACACACATATATATAGTTCTTATTCTATATATATATAGAATTCATATATATATATATATATATATATATATATATATATATAGTCTCCCTAACACAGCTGTGATGATTGTTGCTAGTTCTAACCTGCTGAAGTGTGAATACAGGGGTTTGGGAAATATTTTTGTTTAGCAGAATTTGAGGAAGAACCTATTCCTGACCAGTGATGGATAGGAATGGTTGTTTCCATATAGGGCAGGTCTGTAAGCTTAGATCGTCTCTGTTTATATATTGTCTGTGCTTATATGTACTATCATCTTTTCTATTAATGTTTTATGACCTTAATTAGAATTCACCCACTGAGAATATTTAGATTCCTACAGTTATAGCAAATAAAGACTTAATACTTCAATGAAAGTTTGCTACTCATCCATACTAAAAGTCAAAGCATTTAAATGATTATACACTACAGTATAATGTATCTGAAAAAAATGTTTTTTAAATTTGAAGTAAATATGACCTCACATTAATATTAGTAATTCTTATAGGAAATGAAAATGACTCTTGAATGAGTAATTTGCTCAAGTTGTTATTATAGACCAAGCATATTATCTGTATATTTTGATGTCAGAATATTAACTAATAGTTTAAGATGTATGCATAGATTGAATAGTGAAGTTTCCTATATGCTGTATTTTAAATATCAGGGTTTTTAAAAGATTACTCTCTGGCTATACCATCCTATTAACAGCTAAAAGCTATACTATGTACTAATACTACAATAGTAAATATTAAAGCTATACTAATAAATATTTACATTTCTTACATTTCTTAATGGCTAACTTTTTCCAGAACAACATATTCGAAAAAATACTGAAAATTTTGCAAGCCTGTATTAAAACTCAGGACATCACTTTAAGGTTAAAAATTCTATTTATATCAAAACGCAACTTCACTATAATTTTACTTTCCTGGCTTTAATGGAAGTAAACTCATCAATGATATTCTCATTAAAACAATTAATTATTTAAAAATACATTAAATAGCACAGGAAACTATACTGAATATTATGTAATAACTTATAAGGGAAAAGAATCTGAAAAAGAATATATATACACACACATGTGTAACTGAATTGCTGTGCTGTGGCTTCCTCCTGCAATGCGGGAGACCTAGGTTCCATCCCTGGGTTCAGACGATCCCCTGGAGAAAGGAACGGCTAACCACTCCAGTATTCTGGCCTGGAGAATTCCATGGACTGCATAATACATGGGGTTGAAAAGAGCTGGACACGGCTGAGTGACTTTCACTTTCATACCTAAAACTTACCTGTGGAGTGGTCAGTTGCTCAGTCATGTCTGACTCTTTGGGACCCCATGGACTGTGTGGCCTGTCAGGTTTCTCTGTCCACAAAATTTCCCAGGCGAGAATACTGGAGTGGTTTGCCATTTCCTACTCCAGGGGCTCTTCCTGACCCAGGGATCAAACCTGCATCTCCTGCACTGGCAGGCATATTCTTTAACACTGAGCCACCTGGGAAGCCCGTCTTAAACTTACACTATATTGTAAATCAACGATGATTAAAAATTTTTAAAAATAAGTGAAAATAAAAATGACTATTCTACAATAAATAAATACATAAATTAAAAATACATTAAAAGGGATACAGAGGGGTATATATTTTGCCTTTTGCCTCTGGCTCCAAAATGGCTAGGCATAGCATTATTGGATCCTGTTTCTATTTAAAATGTTGATATCTTGTTCATCATTGGTTTTTCCATTAATGTTTCATTTTAGAAATATTTTATTATTTATTTAAATTACTTAATTTATTGGGTGCGCCTCTTTAAGTTTTGCACCAAAGACAACTGACTCCTTTGCCTCAGACTAGTCTCAGCCTTGTGAGGGACACAGACAATAAACATTAAATATAAAACACTGGTAAGTTATAGAGAAAATTAGAAAGTGAACAGCCCTGGTCAAAAAGAATAAGTAGAGCAGGGCAAAAAAAAAGGGAAGATAAAAGAGGGAGTACTGTTCAGTTTTAAATGGAATAATCCAAATACATATCTAAGAAAACTAACAATTCCTTAATGTCAACTGATATCTAGTCCATATTCAAATTTCCTCTATTGTCCAACTGTCCTCAGAACGTTTTTTCAATCTAGAATCCAATCAAGGATAACATATGCATTTGATTCTCATATCTTTTTTATTTTAATTAAAGTACAGTTGATTTATAATTTTGTGTTAGTTTCAGGTGTAAAGCAAAGTGATTCAGCTTTTTTTTTTCAGATTAAATTCATCTCACACGCTAGCAAAGTAAAGCTCAAAGTTCTCCAAGCTAGGCTTCAACAGTATGTGAACTGTGAAATTCCAAATGTTCAAGCTGGATTTAGAAAAGGCAGAGGAACCAGAGATCACATTGCCAACATCCGCTGGATCATTGAAAAAGCAAGAGAATTCCAGAAAAACATCTACTTCTGTTTCACTGACTACATTAAAGCCTTTGACTGTGTGGATCACAACAAAGTGTGGAAAATTCTTAAAGAGATGGGAATACCAGATCACCTTACTTGCCCCTTGAGAAATCTGTAGGCAGGTCAAGAAGCAACAGTTAGAACTGAACATGGAACAACAGACTGGTTCCAAATATGGAAAGGAGTACGTCAAGGCTGTATATTGTCACCCTGCTTATTTAACTTATATGCAGAGTACATCATGAGAAACGCTGGGCTGGATGAAGTACAAGCTGGAATCAAGATTGCTAGGAGAAATATCAGTAACCTCAGACATGCAGATGACACCACCCTTATGGCAGAAAGCAAAGAACTAAAGATCCTCTTGATGAAAGTGAAAGAGGATAGTGAAAAGGTTGGCTTAAAACTCAACATTCAGAAAACAAAGACCATGGCATCTGGTCCCATCACTTCATGGCAAATAGATGGGGAAACAATGGAAATAGTGAGAGACTTTATTTTGAGGGGCTCCAAAATCATTGCAGATGGTGTCAGCAGCCATGAAATTAAAAGACACTTGCTCCTTGGAAGAAAAGCTACAACCAAACTAGACAGCATAGTCTAGTTGGCAGAGACATTACTTTGCCATCAAGGGTCTGTCTAATCAAAGCTGAACTGTGGTATTGGAGAAGACTCTTCAGAGTCCTTTGTACTGCAAGGAGATCCAACCAGTCCATCCTAAGGAAATCAGTCCTGCATATTCATTGGAGTGACTGATGTTGAAGTTGAAACTCCAATATTTTGGCCACCTGATGCAAAGAGCTGACTCATTTGAAAAGACCCTGATGTTGGGAAAGATTGAAGGCAGGAGGAGAAGGGGACAACAGAGGATGAGATGGTTGGATGGCATCACCGACTCAATGGACATGAGTTTTGAGTAAACTCTGGGAGTTGGTGATGGACAGGGAGGGCTGGCGTGCTGCAGTCCATGGGGTTGCAAAGAGTCAGACACAACTGAGTGACTGAACTGAACTGAGCGTCCAAGAAGTGAAGTTTGAGTAAGGCATTAAGTATGACTCCAAGGTATTTGGCCTCATATGTTAAAAGGATGGATTTGCCATAAGGTCATGGTTAGTACAGGTTTGGGTTGCAGGGAGAAGTATAGTTCAGTTTCAAACATGTTGAGTTTCTGGTGACTATTGGTCATCCAAGTGGAGATTTCAAGTAGGCAGTTGACAACATCTGTCTGGAGTTTGGGAAAGAGGGTTGGGATGGGGATATAAATTTGTGAATACTTAGCATAATGTTGGTATTTAAAACTACTAGATTGAATAAGATCACAATGAGTGCAAACAGAGAAGAGAACAAAGAGCTGACCCCTGAAATTCCCCAGTATCAAGAGATCAGGAAGAAAAATAACACCTAAAAGAGAAGACAGAACAGGGACTTCCTTGGTAGTCTGGTGGCTAAGACTCTGTTCTACCAATGCAGGGGGCCCAGGTTCGATCTCTAGTCAGGGAAATAGATCCCATATGCTGCAACTGAAGATCCTGCAGGCCTAAACTTCAGATCCCATGTGCTGCAACTAAGACCTGATGCAGCCAAATATATAAATAGTTTTTGAAAGAAGACTGAGAATGAACAACAAGGAATTATGTCAAAGAAGAGAGTGATCAATGGTGTCAACTATTGTGCACATACAGATCAAGCATGTGTGGGATAAGAATTAAACAATAGCTTTAGTAATGGAAAGGCGAACAGGGCAGTCGGTTTTGGTGGAGTAGAGGAGTGAAAACTTGTTTGGAGTTAATTTAAAGAAAAAAATGGGAAGAAGATACTGGGGTTTGAGAAAGTATGAAATAGTTGTCTAAAACAGTGGAACAGAAAATAAGTGGGAGGTAGAATTGTTGCCTCTTAGCAAAAAGTTCCACTTGAGATTCATGCTCATTAATTTAAAGTGAGAATAGTCCTTATGCTGGTATATTTTTCTCCAGCCATGTGCCAGTGTAGGTATACATGAGGAACAGATGAAGATTAACCAGGGTTTTTGTTTTGTCAAGGAGTACAATGAAATGAGAGGGGGTAACGAGTCAAAATTTTGTGCAAGAGAGTGATCAAGAATGCTCCATGATATTTAAGATAGCCAGAGAGGGTATCCTGAGAAACAAACAAGCAAAAAAATATTATAGGGTCAATGCACTAGAGGTACCAGTATAATTGGGGTCCTTAGAGATACAAGATCTGTAATCAAATAATGGGATACAGAAAATTGGGTTCACAGTGGAGTTAGTATCTAATACTTTATATAATCCATATTTTTACGTTATCAAAACTTTTTAAACCAATGGTAGGTAGGTGTTTCTTATATTTTAGCACAAAAAGATTCTCTTACCTCTGATGAAGAAGGTCGACTTGGATTGAGGGACATATTCACCAATGTCTGAATAGGGTAATTATCAGTTGGAATTTTGTAGGGTTTTTTTTTAAATCTTTTCTTCATTTAGTATTTAATAAAGGTTATAACAGATTTTTTGTTTGGCTTGCTTAACTTATAGCATTCCACTCATTTCTGGTCTTTGATTCGTTCAAAAAGTAAACAGAAAAAAACAAAAGGCTTTAAAATAGAGTCAAAATGAAAACTTCGATAAGTATGCAATCTTATAATAATAATTTAAAACAATATACTACTGATAAGTAGGGCTGGTAAATGCAAGGAAAATCATATATCCCATACAACTAAGGGGTAAATTATTAATACAGTAGACTTGTGACTAAAACTCTTTTTACTAAATAATTCATTTTCTCTTGATCAAAAATTAAGCTTAAATATATATAGCTTTTTACATAAAGTAGAAATACACTTTTGGAAGTAGAAGGACTAAAAATACAAAAATGACTGCTGCTATTCAGTCACTCAGTCATGTCTGACTTTTTGCTACCCCATGGACTGCAGCACACGAGGCTTCCAGGTCCAACACTAACACCCAGAGCTTTCTCAAACTCATGTCCATCAAGTTGGTGATGATATCTAACCACCTCATCCTCTGTCATCCCCTTCTACTCCTGCCTTCAATCTTTCCCAGTGTCAAGGTCTTTTCTAATGAGTCAGTTCTTTGCATCAGGTGGCCAAAGTATTGGAGCTTCAGCTTCATCATCAGTCCTTCCAATGAATGTTAGGACTGATTTCCTTGAGGATTGACTGGTTTGATCTCCTTTCAGTCCAAGGGACTCTGAAGAGTCTTCTCTAACACCACAGTTCAAAAGCAACAATTCTTTGGTCCTCAACTTTCTTCATGGTCCAACTCTCACATACATACATGACTACTAGAAAAACCAAAGCTTTGACTATATGGACATATGTCGGCAAAGTAATGTCTCTGCTTTTTAATATGCTGTCTAGGTTGGATATAGCTTTTCTTCCAAGGAGCAAGTGTCTTTTTAATTTCATGGTTGCAGTCACTATCTGCAATGATTTTGGAGCCCCACAAAATAAAGTCTGTCACTGTTTCCATTGTTTCCCCACCTATTTGCCATGAAGTGATAGGAGTGGATACCATGATCTCAGTTCTTTTTCTTTAAAGCCAGCTTCTTCACTCTCCTCTTTCACTTTTCATCAAGAGGCTATTTAGTTCCTCTTCACTTTCTGCCATAAGGGTGGTGACACTTGCATATCTGAGGTTATTAATATTTCTCTGGGCAATCTTGATTTCAGCTTTTGTGTCATCCAGCCCAGCATTTCGAATGATGTACTCTGCATAAAGGGGCTTCCATTGTGGCTCAGCCAGTAAAGAATCTGCCTATAGTGCGGGAAACCTGGGTTCGATCCCTGGATTGAGAAGATCCCCTGGAGAAGGAAAAGGCTACCCATTCCAGTATACTGGCCTGGAGAATTCCATGAACTGCATAGTCCATGGGGTCACAAAGAGCCAGACACAACTGAGTGACTTTCACTTTCATTTTCACTCTGCCTGTAAGTTAAATAAGCAGGGTGGCAATTTACAGCCTTGACTTACTCCTTTTCCTATTTGGAACCAGTCTGTTGTTCCATGTATGGTTCTAACTGTTGCTTCTTGACCTGCACCCAGATTTCTCAGGAGACAGGTAAGGTGGTCTGGTATTGTCATCTCTTTAAGAATTTTCCACACTTTGTTGTGACCCACACAGTCAAGGCTTTAGTGTAGTCAATAAAGTAGATGTTTTTTTGGAACTCTCTTGCTTTTTTGATGATCCAGCAGATGTTGACAATTGGATCTCTGGTTCCTCAGCCTTTTCTCAATCCGGCTTGAACATCTGGAATTTCACAGTTCATGTACTGTTGAAGCTTAGCTTGGCACATTTAGTATTTTGAGCATTACTTTGCTAGTGTGTGAGATGAGTGCAACTGTGTGGTAGTTTGAACATTCTTTGGCATTGCCTTTCTTCGGGATTGGAATGAAAACTGACCATTTCCAGTCCTGTGGCCACTGTTGAATTTTCCAAATTTGCTGGCATATTGAGTGCAGCACTTTCACAGTATCATCTTTTAGGATTCGAAATAATTCAGCTGGAATTCCATCACCTCCACTAACTTTGTTTGTAGTGATGCTTCGTAAGGTCCACTTAACTTCATATTCCAGGATGTCTGGCTCTCGGTGAGTGATCATACCATCATGGTTATCTGGGTCATTAAGATCTTTTTTGTATGGTCCTTCTGTGTATTGTTGCTACCTTTTCTGATTCTGTTAGGTCCATACCATTTATAGGTGTATGAGGCTTCCCCTACGGCTCAGCAATAAAGAATCCACCTGTAATTCAGGAGACACAGGTTTAATCTCTTGGTTGGGAAGATCCCCTAGGGAAGGAAATGGCAACCCGGTACTCCAGTATCCTTGCCTGGGAAATCGCATGGACAGAGGAGCCTGGCAGGTTACAGTCTATAGGATTGCAAAGGAGTGGGAAACAGCTTAGTGACTAAACAATATATATGCATGTGGCAATTTATCAGTTAAGAATTAATGGTAATAATCTATAATAAATACAGCACACAGGTAATCATTAACTAGTATGCCAATTGGGAGACTACAACTTTCATTTTTAGTGGATGCATTAAAAATTTGATATTCTAATTCAGAACTAATTTTTGATTAATTGAACTCAAGACAGAGCAATCAAGACCTGCTTTACTATTAATATTATCCTAAGGTAAACTGGTCAAGGCTATGGTTTTTCCAGTGGTCATGTATGGATGTGAGAGTTGGGCTGTGAAGAAAGCTTAGCACCAAAAAATTGATGCTTTTGAACTGTGGTGTTGGAGGAGAGTCCCTTGGATTGCAGGGAGATTCAACCAGTCCATCCTAAAAGAGATCAGTCCTGGGTGTTCATTGGAAGGACTGATGCTGAAGCTGAAACTCCAGTACTTTGGTCACCTCATGGGAAGAGTTGACTCATTGGAAAAAACCTTGATGCTAGGAGGGATTGGGGGCAGGAGGAGAACGGGATGATAGAGGATGAGATGGCTGGATGGCATCGTCGACTTGATGGGCATGAGTTTGAATAAACTCCGGGAGTTGGTGATGGGTGCTGAGATTCATGGGGTCGCAAAGAGTCGGACATGACTGAGCAACTGAAATGAATGAAGTATGAATGAGATTAGTTAACAAAGCATAAAGGTCAAATAATTTTCACTACTACTAGGGAAGAGGAAAAAGAGACATTTATTGAGATACTTGTCATACTCTTTACATATAAACTTTCATTCAGAAAGACAATTCTGCGAAGTAGGCTTTATTATTTCATTTTGAAATGAGGAAACGGAAGCTCAGGAAAGTGGCCTGCCCAGGGATACCAAGGTAGGAGACAGAGACAGAATTCAAACTCTGGTCTAGTTCCAGCCAAGTAAACTGTACATTCCTGTGAAGTGATTTAAACTGTTTTACAAGTTAGGTTTTGTTGAGATAGAGCACACGACACACAGATTTCTCACTATACAAAGCAAATGAAATGTATTAATGATGAAATTATGCACGTTTCTAGAAAATACTAGTGTATTCACTGACGGACTATACCAGCTGAACAAGAAACATTTGTCCTAAGTGCGTGACCTACGTTCCCATGTGTGAAACATGCAGTGTCTGAGCCTTCTTTGCTTAATTCCATCCTACTATTTCTCCTGAAAGCTCCTCTGAAGGTCAATTTCAAGCATCAGGTAATAAGCTACAACTGAAACATAAAAGAGCAAACTTTCTCAAAGTTTTTATTTCTTACAGTACAACAAACGTTTATCCACCAAATGAAATGGACACGAAGAGATAAATACAATTTTTAGTCAGCACCTTGGCTTCTTCACAATCGTTTCTTAAAAAACGAGAGGTAAGAGGCGCCAGAAACCAAACCTTGTGAAGACCCCCTTTTCTCTAGCGAACCAGCGCCCTCGCTGCCCGCCGCCCGGCTCCTCTCGGTCGGTTAGAGACCTCGCGCCCTCCTTCACTCTCGGGGGTCTGTCGGTGGGAAGCCATCTGCGGAAGGGCCGCCCGCTGGACAAAAACGGTCGCTGAGGGACGCGTCCCTAGGGGACAAGGTGCCAGCGACTCAAGCCCATACTTCTAGCTCCTACGCCTCCGTGGGGCTCTCCCTTCCCTTTCCTCCATCTCTGCCAACTCTGCCAGGGACACTGGAACCGCCTCGTAGTCCCGCCACCATGACTGTTACAAAGTCTCTCAACAACTGACTTCCCTCACCGACCCTCTTTGGAGTCCCTTTCGGGTCTCGCAGGATAACTACGGTCTCTTTCCTTACCTCTCCAACTCTGCCTCTCGGGAGAGGGAGGACGGAGAGGAGGGGCGTCCGTTCCAGTCGGCGTCCCGTAGCTGCCACGCCCACCGTCCGCTCCGCCCCTTCTCCCTCCCAACTCTCCCCTCACCCTCGGAAGCTCGCGCTCCCTTTCGGGTGTGGAGCCAAAACGGCGGGCGAGGGAGAGCGCGCATGCGCGTTGAGGGTGGAGCCGCTGGGTAAAGGACCGGAAACTTAAGAGACAAAGTTCCGAGTCTCACCCCCAGCCCCGCCGACTGGCCCAGCGGACCCACCGCAGACCTGCCGACGGCCCGCGGATCTGCTATCCTTTCGAGTGCGCCATGTCTGGTTCATCCAGCGTCGCGGCTATGAAAAAAGTGGTTCAACAGCTCCGGCTGGAGGCCGGGCTCAATCGGGTGAAGGTGAGCGGGGGCGGGTGGCCGAGGGGGAGGGGAAGGCGGGGAGGTGGCGGGTGGGATACTGCAGGCGAGCTGACGCGGCGGCCGCCACTCGCCCCTGGGGAGAACGCCGGCGCGGCGGCCGCGATCTCGGCCAGCTTTAGAGAGGTAGCGGCACGGGTCGGCGCTGTGGTTTGGGGGGCCGGTTAGTGCGCCCTTGCGCCCCAAGGCGGTCCCAGGCGGGCTGGCCCTGGGTTGAACAGCCGCTTTCCGCATTCCGGCCCTCGTCCCTGTCTTCCTCCCTCGGCAGTACTCTGGCGGCTGGGCTCCCCAAGAGCTGCGCCTCCGCCCGCGCCCTTCCCGGCTCTCGCGACCGTTTCCCTCGTTTCTTGTCACCGGACGGAGTTTTATCCGCCTTTTGATTCACAACAGAAGTTTTTTTTTCATGTCAGAACTTTCCCAAATCCACACCCTTTAGTAGCCGAGCCTTACTTCCAGCTCCACTATTCACCGAACACACACTTGAAAACGAATTCCTGCATAACTTTAATTGTAGGTTAAAGAAGCCTGTTTTGGAAACGTTTACAGTGTCTAAGATTACCACTGGTGCCCTGCGCAAACTCGGACAAAGCGTGCATTTCAGGGCATATCTCCTGGTCTGCATACCCGACAAAGTAATTAGGGTGGACCAGTGTTATTTATTTTGGCGTCTGGTTAGCATTGACCTTGTCCTGAGATATTTACTTTGGGGTAAAGTCGTGTGTGTGTGTTGAAAGGACAAGCTGACGTTAACTGCTGTTCCAGGTTTCTTGATTTTTTAAATCCTGCGTGGATTGGCTTCTTTGTCGTGCACTCAGTTTACATGTGAAACGCTTACTGTAATTAGAAAAGAAACAGGGAAGGATATAAACCATGCTTGTGTTGAAAGAAATAGCCAGTTTCCAAGATGATTTGATTCTTCACTCATCACACTGGTTTTTACTTCCCCCTGAAGTGTTTCGTGTTGTAAGACGCTCTCTCTTTACCTATTTCCTTATGTAGAAATGCCAGGAACCTGGTTTACCCGGTTGTGGTCATCTCAAAAGGGAAGGGAAATTCCCATCTGTCTTGGGATGGGATTCCCCTCCCTTCCTGTCCTTTAAGTGCTATAAACACCATTGCTGTGTGGAATCCATTTCTCTAATTTCCAGATTCTTACCTCATCCCAGTGATTTATGGTTAGCCTTGCCTGGATTTATCTCTGAAATCATTGTTATTATTCAGGTGTGCCTTCATCTTAGGTTGGAGTGGCCGAGGAAAGAAAAAAACGGGAAGGGGGGGGCAAAAAAAGGCTGGTTGAAAGCAGTAAGTGTTAAGTAGGGATATTTAGTCCTAGTCCAAAGAAAATGAATATACCCTGAGGGCTTCACCTTAAAAACCCTAGCCCTTGCAATAACTCTCCAGCGGGGTGCCTTCCTCCAGTACTAAAGAGGGTTTTGGTCAGCATCATTAAAGCCATCACAAGGGTTTGGTTCTAGAAATCTCAAGTCTAAATGGCAGGGCTGTGTGTAGCAAGGAGGAAAGCACCTCACCTTGGGGGAATTGAAATGAACTTTTCTTTGGACATGTTGCAAAATGTGGTGAGTTAGATTTCATTTTGTGCTTCTGTTTTACCCATGACTTTGCTAGATGCTTTTGTAGTGCCACTTTACTTTTGAATTAGCACGAGTTTATTTTTTAAAAGCTTTTGTTTGAGTAGTTGATAGAAATTATCACAAATGCTTGACAAACTCCCCCAGTGTTGGTGACCATACACTTTGTTCCCAACCCAGGGCACTTTTGAGAGGGAAAGAGGCTCTGATAATTATGCCAGGATTATAGGGTTTCAACCTCTCTGATGGTTATTATAGTGCCTTAGGGGCTAGCAGCTTGTTTTGAGTTTTAAGCCTTTATCTCCACTCTCCCTATTGATTGGAATTCTTACTGGTTATTTTCACTAATGGTTCCTTGGCTGGATCTCTTGTCACATATCTCAATTTAAATGTCACCTTCTTGAAAACACTTTGCCACAGGTCCTGATCTAACAAACTACTCTTTTTTTTTCCTGCAGATCATCTTGTCTCTTTTCATCTGAACTGTTAGCTCTGTATCAGGGGCCTGGTTTTTCTTCCTCAGGGCCTAGAATTATATTAGGCACATAGAGGTGATGAGAGGTTTGTGAAAGGGAGTTTAAGTTGGAGTCTGCCTACATTTTGGCAGAAAATTAAGATTCTTTCTCATGTTTATGCTCAGTCATGTCCTGAGCATAAAGTCACAAGTCTTTGTGACCCTATGGACTATAGCCCACAAGGCTCCTCTGTCCATGGGATTTTCCCAGCAAGGATACTGAGTGGGTTCCCATGCCCTTCTCCAGGGGATCTTTCCAGACTCAGATATCGAACCCACATCTCTTATGTATCTCCTGATGTATCTCCTGCATTGACATATGGGTTCTTTACCGCTGAGTCACAGGGGAAGCGCAGTAGATTCTTTACTGCTGGTTAATGTGAATGAATGAAACCATGTTATAAGATACTAAAAAATGATACCACCCTTCCCCCACTGTAGCTACACTTGTGAGGGGGAGCAGGGTGCCCATTTCTTGTAGTACTTGGAACCCAAAACTACTTACACAGTTGCTAAATAAATTCATGAAACTCTTTATCCTGGGCTGGTGTATAAACCAAACATATAAGTAGATTCCAGAAGAGTTTAGATTTATCTCACGGTGATGGATCCGTTTATCAGAAGCTGTCATGTGCACTTGTGATGCCCTTAGCTCCCTTTCAGAGGCTAAATATTACCCAGCCAGATTGGACACCTGTTCTTATCCTTGTAGATAGTTAAAACAGAATAAAATAAATGATTGCCTTCCTCATCTTCCTAAATCACAATTCAAGAGTTAGGATACTATATTTATTTGAGGCATCCTTTAGTCATTTATGTTATATATCTGAACTAATCAGTTTATTGTTTTGGTGTCCTGCACCATGCCTTCACAGAATATATACAAATAGTAGATGTTGAAGTTGGTATAAAGTTGTTTTAACTGTGAAACCACAGAAGTTCTCTAAGTCCTGTTTGATTGGCTTTGTACATATATGAAAATTATTAAGTCACATTTAAGGCAGTTTCTTAAAGGCAGGCTGCTCAGTAAAGTTCTTAAATTGAAGTTTGCTAATAATTAGCCTTTCAGTCACATGTCACTGAGCAGAAACTGTCATTGTCCAATTTTGTAACATAGAACAGCTGATGGTATGTAATACCAAGACACTCACAGCATTTTCTCAGTATACCGCTTTCAAGACAGTGATAGTTTACTGGCATTTTAATTTATCTTTACCCTATAATATCCTGTGTATCGCTTTTAATAAAAAAAAATGTTGAGTACCTTCATGGTTACACTAGAACATCCTGTTTTATTAGTAAACTAGCAAGATGTACTATGCTTTGCAGATAACAGAATTGTACTGTTCATGCTTGTTTTATTTACATGGAGTGTTTTGACTGTATATGATTGTGTATCAAACATATGTATATGTTGACAGCATATGACTGTTGATGAGCTTCCTGGTGGCTAAGTGGCAAAGAATCCACCTGCCAAGCAGGAGATGCAGGTTTGATCCCTGGGTCAAGAAGATCCCTTGGAGAATGAAATGGCAACCCAGTCCAATATTCTTGCCTGGACATGGACAGAGGAGCCTGGTGGGCTACAGTTGATGGAATTGCAAAAGTCAGACATGATTTAGTCAGACACAATTTAGCCACCAAACAACAACAGTATGACTGGTGACCTTCAATTAGCATATATATTTTTTGAGTTAAGTGTTTATTGGCAGATATTTTTATTAAAGATTTGAGAAAACTTTCATTAAAACATTGTTATCACCTCCCACTCCCTCCCCCCACCGCTTGTTATATGCAGGTTTCCCAGGCAGCTGCAGATTTGAAACAGTTCTGTCTGCAGAATGCTCAACATGACCCTCTGCTGACTGGAGTATCTTCAAGTACAAATCCCTTCAGGCCCCAGAAAGTCTGTTCCTTTTTATAGTAAGATGAATCTTGACAAGGTAAGTTTCCTTAAATTAAAACAACAAAACTCCATATAGTAGGGATAAGGAGTCAAGTTTCTTTCTTTGTAGCACTTTATAAGTTGAGCAAGATCTCACCATAGTTTTGTTTTGCACTTGGATTTTCCAGTCTTTTTTGTTTTGTGAAGATTGAGGAAATTCGCTGATTTAGTAATCATGAAGACTAGTTGTTTCTATTTTACCGGAGGGTTAAGCAGAGGATTTAATAACCATAAAGAAGATATAGGGGTTACTAGAAAATTTCACTATTGTGACAAGCCATGTTAACCCTTTATAGTATTGCCTAATGGTGTACTCTGGTGTCCCCAAATACTAATTTTTTTGTACCCAGAAAATATTTAGACATTTAAAGAAATCTGCTGTGTTCATGGTGGTGACTTTTAACGTACTGTCAGTGGATTTGGATTAATTATGATCTACTAGAATAGCATAGAAAATAATTGAAGTAGTGAGTGCAAACTGAGGAGATAGCTGCATAAGCTGACATAGTGCAGGCATTTGGAGTTGGGGACAAAAGGTTTTAACTTTATTCTTTTTAGGTAAAGATAATGAGAGGGAAATGAAGTATGTAAGTTTATGGTGGGAGACG